TTTTCAGTCAATTTTATTTTGTAATTGGCTTCATTTTTGAGGGATCTCTTACTTCCCAATCAGAAACTGACTGGAAAGTCCCAGTACACTAGATGGCTATGCTAGTGTCTTTGAGAGCACTAGTAGAAGGTATATAGTGTGTTCTTCTAAGCTCTGCAGACCAGAAAACCTTAAAATGCTCCGGGAGTTTTTCCTGTCTCTCACTGAGAACTAGGATCCCCCAGAGTGAAAATCAGGCAAGATAACTTCAGAAAGGTAGGGTTACAAGACAAGTAAATCTTTCTTTCATTTTTCTACATGTAAATCCAGGCTGTCATAGTATCATGAGTTACTATACAGCCTTAGAATGGCATGAAAATTGTAAATAAATTAGGAGAAATCTAAGAATTACTTCAATAACTTTTCTGTATGTGATCTTTTGATTTGAAGATTTGTTATTGCTGTACTTCCCAGGAAATGGTTGCACTAGTATGCAAGTGTAAGGAATAAAAGATTAAAATAACACCCAAGGAACCAATGTACTCAACTTTAAAGGCAAGGTACCAGGCTCATTGTATTGGAGTTAGGCATATATTTATCCATCATAGCGTCGTTCATTCTAGCATGATTTACTTAATTAAATTGATGCAAATTTTATATAAGTAAGGTAGGAATGCAGTAATAGAAACAGAATTGTAATAACTGCCCTTTTGGTTTCTGAGACAAGGTGGATGAGGTAATATCTCTTATTGGATCCACTTCTGTTGGTGAAAGAGAAGCTTTCAAGCTACACAGAGCTCTTCAGGTCCTGGAGGTAATTGTGTTGTGAGCAAGACACGATAAGTCATTCTTCCGCTTTACTCTGCGCTGGTTAGGCCTCAACTGGAGTATTGTGTCCAGTTCTGGGCACCGCATTTCAAGAAAGATGTGGAGAAATTGGAGAGGGTCCAGAGAAGAGCAACAAGAATGATTAAAGGTCTTGAGAACATGACCTATGAAGGAAGGCTGAAAGAATTGGGTTTGTTTAGTTTGGAAAAGAGAAGACTGAGAAGGGGACATGATAGCAGTTTTCAGGTATCTAAAAGGGTGTCATAAGGAGGAGGGAGAAAACTTGTTCACCGTAGCCTCTGAGGATAGAACAAGAAGCAATGGGCTTAAACTGCAGCAAGGGAGGTTTAGGTTGGACATTAGGAAAAAGTTACTAACTGTCAGGATGGTTAAACACTGGAATAAATTGCCTAGGGAGGTTGTGGAATCTCCATCTCTGGAGATATTTAAGAGTAGGTTAGATAAATGTCTATCAGGGACGGTCTAGACAGTATTTGGTCCTGCCATGAGGGCAGGGGACTGGACTCAATGACCTCTCGAGGTCCCTTCCAGTCCTAGAATCTATGAATCTATGAAAGACAATGTAATATAGTTTTATGTAAAGTGAAGATAATTCAGGTTCCGAAGAATTCTCTGTGTAGCTCGAAAGCTTGTCTCTTTCACCAACAGAAGTGGGCCCAATAAAATATATAGCCTCACCCACCTTGTCTCTCACGTGTCCTGGGACTGACACAGCTACAAGAACACTGCAAACAACTTTTGGTTTATGGCACATGATGTTTTGGAAGAAAAAAAAAGCAACCCGTTAAATAAATGAGAACTTGTGGATAACATTATACATACAGAGGGGTGGCCAAACTGTGGCTCATGAGCTACATGCAGCTCTTTTACAGTTAGTGTGGCTTGCGGAGCTCCCCCCCGCCCCATCCATTCTCCACTTACGAGACTCAGGGGTTGGGGGGGGGGGGGACGCTCAGGGCTTCTTCCCTGTGGTGGGGTGATGGGGCTGGAGCTTCTTCCAGAGACTACTCATGCCTCCTGAGAGTGGGGGGTGTGTGTCACAATTTAAAGGTTCGCCCCCCCCCCCCCCCAGCAGCTTGACTCTTGCCCCCAAGCACACCCTCCCTTTTATCCTCAGCGGCCCTTCCCTGCAGCTCCCAGGTGTTAGCTCTGCCTGGAGAGGCAGCTGCAAACAGCTGGGAACTGCAGGGAGGGGCTCCTGCTTTAGCTCTGCAGGGAGAAGCAGCTGCAAAAGCAATGGCTCTCCCTGCAGCTCCCAGGTGTTTGCTGTTGCCTCTCCCTATGGCCAGAGTTCCCAGCTTATCAGTTCTAGCAGCTGCTGCACAGGGAGGAGGCCTGGCGGCACCATGTGAGCGAGTGGGGCCAGCAAAGCCTGGCAAAAATCTGGGGTGGGGGGCACGTGACCTCACATGCTTCCACCATGCGTCGCCTCTGGCTTCTGCCCAGTGGGGAAGGGTATCTCGGGGCTTCAGCCCTGCAGGAGATGCTTGCCAGGGCGTGGGGCTTAAGCCCTAGGCCCCGGCAGGTGCGCCCTGGCTCTCAAACTTCTGAAGATTGTTGTATGCAGCTTGGAGGGTCAGTAAGTTGGCTACCCTTGTCAGATGTTGATTTCCTACTTCTGCTTCCCCCAAAATGAATCTTTGACATATCAGACACCTTTAAGGATGTTAGGTTCTCCCAGTTTAATGCTAGTAAATTGCAGCTGCCACTTTAGATGACAGGGAGAAGTGGCAATCCAGATAAGTGAAATCTCTCTCTCTGGTGGTTGCAGCCACCTTCTCCTTACTACATGCATACTGTACACACTTACTGGGTTGTCTTTTAACTTATGAAGACTATGAAAATGCATTGAGATCTACATGGCCCAAGACTTTCTCCCCCCCCCCCCGTGAATAAATTATGGATCATGAGTAAGATGGATGCTCTTTCTTAAATGGGTATACATTAACCGTTTTACAGTTAGCCTGTTCAGAGTTCCAGTATTTACTAATAAAAGGTGGGAAGGCCGAAAACTGAGGGCTGCTGCAACAATTGCTCAGAATCTTCACTTTACATCAAACTACATTACCGTGTCATTCAGTTATTTAGAGCTTAAAAATGTACATGTCCCCAGAGGAGTATATTATTGAGCATTTACCATATTGAATTCTATTAATTCTTTACTAAGCCGATTACGTGTTTTTTTGGTAAACTTTATTGTATTTTTTTTCAAAAGAAAATAATGAGATTAATGGAAATTCAGACTTAGTGATCTAAGATGGTCTGCTTTCTTTGATCCATTTAATTTTATTTTTAGAATTCTATTAATGATGGACTTGAAAGGATTTTTGTCTGGGACTCGATCTTGGGAGCCAAAGGCTCAATCCAGCTAACCAAAAGCATCTTCTGAGCTTCAGTAGATTTGTACAGTGTGATGACCAGACAAATCAGTATTTCCCACGCTTTTACTGGTGCTTCTGAGCTATATGTAATGAAGACGTATAAAGAAAAAGCTCTGTTCTAGCCAGTTTTACTCAATGATTTGTAGCGATCTTAAAAACGGAATCCATTGCACCTTGCTGAGCTGTTCAGTAATCTCAGCAAATCAAGCAATTCTGTATTGATCTAGCAATCAAGAAAGGGGAAAAGGTGGGTCTGAAGTAGCCAGTGTTTAATTTTGTATCATTTCCCTGAATTCCATTCATAGTTCTGTTAAACGTTTCAAAGGATTATTGCTGGCTTCCGCTTGCTGGCCTTTTCTCTTTGTTGTGTGAAGAATGATGCACAAAAGACTTGAGTTGAATGTTCTTCTATAAGAACACTTATTTCAGTAGTCCACTTTCATATGAAATATTTTTTCTTAAGTATTTTTCAGTTTTACTAGTATGACAAGTTTATGAAGAAAAGGTAGAGTTGAGAAATTAGGTTAAAAACAAGACGAGGAAGAATTGGAAGTAGCCTAAGTTTTAATACAACAAGAGGAAAAACTAGACATATTTTATACCAATAACATAATACTATTAGCATATCTTTGCCTGTTGAACTCAGATGTGGGTTAATTGGAAGGCATTATGCATAGAGGCTGAGGGCTTGGGTGGCTTAGTCAGTAAGATAAGAATGCTTTCACTTCTAGGAGCAGAGTATAAATCCATCCTAAAGCCTTAAGTGGACCAGGTTTGCTAATCTTGGTTCAGGCTCAGAAACCTAAGTGTAATCTGGCATTATCTGGAGTCTGTCATGAGAAACAGCATGGTGCCTGAAATGCCTCTCAGCCAAGGGAAGGGTAATCCCTATCTCACCCGCAGGTCAGACTTGAAGTCATTGACCAGGGCAGTGGTGAGGAAACTTTCCGTGCAGTTGCATGCCTCATTTAATCTGTGACCGTTGAAGAGGTCAGTTTCTGAAGTGCCAGTTCCTTGGTCTTCACAAGCACTCAATACTCCATTTCCTTGCAAAATATGTATTTGAAGCCCAGAAATAGTTCTTGCTTCAGATAAGGGTTTGTAGCTTCTACCATTTTATCGCTAACCCAAAATAAGTCTCTAATTCATCCTGTTAGTAAATGGTACAGCACTTCTCTCATAGTTTAGTACATCTCACAGAGATGCCATCATTGTAGTTCTTCTGTCTAACGTGTGTAGTGTTTCAGCACCCTTTCCCCAGTTGTGACTTGTGAGCAGAGAATACCATTTTCATAACGTTAAATGTTGACTTTTAAGAACTGGGCTTCTCTTGAGGAAAAATAAAGAGTGAATGTAGCTTAATTATTTTAGTTCGCATATGAGGTCAATGTGAAAATTCAGTATTGTATGTAACTTCAGATTAATACCATTTTGTCAACACTTGCATTTCCCAAATTACTATTTTAAACCACATCTGGATTGTGGACAAAATGACTTCATATACTAGCTATCAAAATTTTTAACAATCTCTTATTTTCTTAAGGAGCATGTGTAATAGAGCCCTTGAAATATGCTTCTCAATCAGACATATAATTCCTTAAAAATATGTAATTGAATTAGCTTTCCTAAATGTCTTGCATCCATGAAACTTTATAGATTTGAGCTACATTTGTAATTAATACATAATGCATTATTCTTATGTGAGAGTCGTAGAATTGTTATTTTCCACAAGTGAAGCCTTTGTTTGTGTTTTACTTTTTCTTTTGTGTAATGAGTTACTTTATGTGACAGGTGGGAGATTCAAGAAAGAGATAGTAGTTGATGGACAAAGCTATCTGCTGCTGATTAGAGATGAAGGGGGCCCTCCAGAGGCACAGGTGAGCATTGCATTTAGAGCTTTATTAGGCTAGACTATAGATCATGAAAATGAATAACAACTTTAATGAAATTATATCTTATTTGGTATAAGAAAAAGTGCAAAGAATTAAGCCAGTAGGTTGAGAAAACTTGATGTTTTCATAGGAGGTTGTTACATGTCTTTAAGAATATAAATGTGATGGATTAAAACTTGCTCATGTAACTCAAAACAGAATGCACTGATTGCCCTCCTAGGAAGGCAGCAGAATATATTACTCCTGATGTGAACAAGCTATATCGCAGTCTGCTCAGGTCACCTAACCTGAAAGCAAAGCTGGCTCGTTGCCCCACCTTTTCCAACAGCCTGAGGAAAATGGAGATATCATTTAAATCTACCTTTTTGGGGGAGAATTTCCATACACTTGAACGTGAAAAGACATCTGTGTATTTTAAAATTACATATAATTAATCAATAGTGATGGTCTCTGGGGCAATAGTAAACGTTCTCTGGTGAAAACTGGTTCTTTTGTACTTACAAAAGGGGTTAAGTTGTAAATTTCACTCTGATACAATAGAGGAACGTAGAACATGTGGATTTATCTCCCATCAAATGCACAATTCAGGGCTACAAAGCTGCTTCACTGGCCAGGTAACTACACTGCATTACATTTTAATTAAAGGTTCATATTAAAGGAAATGATTGAAGTATGCAATGAAGTCCTTTCATAATGTTATCATAGCAGATGTACTCACACTGAAATGTGTTAGAAGTGTCTGCTTTTGAATCTTTGTCCTTCTCCCTCATTCTGCCTCATCTCTACTGCTTCTGCCTTATTTCTTCCTTGTAGTGTTGTGAGGCTCTCTAGCTCTCCAGGCCTCAATAGGGCACCATTGTAATCTTATGCATTTCCTATTTGGTTATTGTACGTTTATTTAACTTCTTTTGTCCTGTAGAAGGCTGTTCTACTGCACACAGAATTTTGATAACTCTGAAGAGGAGACAGATTGGTCATTTTTCTCTGGTTCCAATACTCTCGGCTGATACAAGTTGAAACCATTAAAAGTTTTTGTCAGCATGTGCTCATATGGGCATTAGTACATATGGTGAAACTCTGGCTACAGTCAGTGTGTCTGGGGCTACAAGGACAGATCACCCTCTACCTCCCCTTACCTGCTTATTAGCAGGGTTGCTAAATAGAATCTACTGGCCTCACTGCCCTCAGCTGTTCAATGATGGAGCAGCTTCAAAGAATAAGCAGCAGAAGCTGCTCTGCTGCCAAACAGCCCAATGGAGTGTTGCAAGCAGCATCAGCAGCTTCTGTTTCAATGCCCCACTATTGCCCATTAGCCATGGGAGGATTAAAGCATCCTGGAAGAAGTTCAGACAAAGGAGAAGAGAAGAGGTTAGGCAGAGGAATGAAGGAGACTCAGAGGAGAAGCCCTTAAGGGAAGTTACAAACAAAAGACAGGCTTACTTAATTCAACTTGGATCTTGTGAGGTAAACATGTGTGTGTTGAGGTTAGGGTGACCAGATGTCCCGATTTTATAGGGACAGTCCCGATTTTTGGGTCTTTTTCTTATATAGGCTCCTATTACCCCCCACCCCCATCCCGATTTTTCACATTTGCTGTCTGGTCACCCTAGTTGAGGTAAGAGAGAGAGCCAAACTACCTAACACTCAGTGTGAATAACTTGTCTGAGAAATGTGTTCACAACAGCCTATATGTGTGTGTGTGTGTGTGTGTGTGTGTATATATATATATATAATGTCCTAAATTCTGCATCTATAACCTCTGTGTGTGTAGTTGTATCAAGTGAACATACTACAAGAAAACAGTTTTTTGGTAGATTATTATTTAATAAGTTGATTATAATACACACTATATATACTATACATATAGTATGTTCACTTGATACAACTACACACACAGTGGTTATAGATGCAGAATTTAGGACATGGCACCCAAAGCAGTGTTTTCATTGTATCTAGTGCTGCTACAAAACTATTCTTTGGCAGATAAATACCAGATATTAGATTGAAATGATCAGAATTTGTGTCCAACAAAGCACTTCATAAAAGTCATAATACGTATCAGAATGTACATTTTTCTTCCTGTTTGCCAATCAGTATTTTGTAGAAACAAACTATATGTATGCATAAGTAATCTCTCCTCTTAAGTTATTTTAATTATAATTTGGTCATGTAACATTGTTACGGAAAAGATCTAAATTTTTGTGATTTTTTTTTTTCATATATCTAATTCACAAAATAAATAGAACTACTATTTCTGGACAAATTACCGTATATACTCAATCATAAGCCGGTTGGTTTATAAGACAACCCCACTCGTCCCCCCAAGATGGATAAGTAAAAATGGAAATTTTTTATGACCCATTCATAAGCCGACCCTATAATTCAGGGGTCAGCAAACTTTGACTCCTGGGCCATCAGGATAAGCCGCTGGTGGGATGAGATGGGTTGTTTACCTCGAGCGTCCGCAGGTAAATCTAAGTAAACAAAGTGTCCCGGCGTGCCAGCTGCTAACCCTGATGAGCCAGGACAGCAACTGCTGGGGAAATTTTTTGGGGGGGGGGGGGGGGAGAAGCCGGGGGTCAGGGAAGTAACCCCTGTGACCACCCCCCACATGACCCTAGCCTGGGAGTCCCACACTCTCCCCATCCCATCCCTTTCCACCTTATCTGGGGAGGGCCAGGGAAGGATGTCTCTGGCCTGGCTGGAGGCAGAGCAGAAGTGGAGAGGCTCTGGCCCTGGCCCTGCCTCTTCTCTGCTGGCTGTGCTGACTCTCCTTGCTTCCTCTGTTGGGGGGAGGGGCTGTGTCTCACCTCTCCCTCTCTATACCCATTCATAAGCCGACCCCCTTCTCTGGTGTTTCCATTTTTTACTAAAAAAATCCGGCTTATGAACGAGTATATACGGTAATATTGATAATTTCTGTAATGGAAGTGAAACACCTGAAGGAAAATATTGTTTGTAACCTTCACTGCTCCTTTATAATTCACAATGATGACATGATAAAGTTTTGGGTTTTAAAGGGTTTTTCTATTTTGTTTTTCTTAGGAATATTCTTTTTACTGGAGGAATAAAAGGGATGTGACATCACAATAGGCAGAAACCTGTGCTGCAGCCTTCCCAGTCCTTGGTTCAGTGGTTCTCAACCTGTGGCCCAATCAGCACAGAGCTGCAGCCCATGTGACATTCTCAGGGCCATAAGGATTAGTATTGGATGCAGCCCACATAACACATTGTGGGGTGCATATGGAGCCCACAATGGTAAATAAGTTGGGAATCACTGCCTCAGTTAAAGTGAATCTTAGAAGTCCCTTGACATTCTCTTCTTTCTTAAGTGCCAGCTACTGCTCGTTTCAGCTTATTGTGATGTCATCATTCGAGTCCTCTAGCAGAAAAGGGAACTTGGAGTTTGGGAATTGGTGTTCCAGATCCGATCAGTTGTCTAATACAAGAAGCTTCAGATTAAGGTGAAAAATCCTGAAGCTGGCAATTATGGAGTAAATTGCCTATAGAGAACTTTCTTTTCTAACCCCTCAATTTGGAGCTTGGCTTATGCCCTGAAAAATGAAGGTTTATATTCTCGACTAAACAAAAGTAGGAAAATTCATGATAAAGGTGTAGTAAAGGACAGTCACTGCTTTTTGCTTTGCATTTTTTCTGTGCCAAATTAATACATTAACAGTTTTAAAAATCTCATTTTTAAGGATGAAATCAGAGTGAAATATATACTACTGGTCAGTTGGTGGTAGTCTGCTTTTCATCCTCATCCTTTTTAAAGCATTCCAATTGTGAATAAATTGCCATTTCCATTGCTTGCCAGCCATGATTTTAGTTCTTCCTGGCCTACCACAAAACTGTTAAAGTCTCCTATGATAAAACACCACACAATAGTTATGAGGGATTTGGATGGCTCATAATAGTTGCTCTGGGATGCAGGTTCTAGATTACTAGTGCGATTTTTGGCCTCATTTGAACAAGTGTTCACCTTAATTAAAGAAATAAAAATGGATGCCTTTGGTGCCATCCAAGACACTGAATGCCCATGAAATTGAACTGTCCTCTCTGCCCAGAGAGCTGTTCTCTGCCACAGTGGGATTTGAAGCACACCGCTTGAATTTGCCATTACCCGCACTGTTTTTCAAAGACTTCAGTTTCCAGTGCTGTTAACATTGCATCTTCGTAACATTAAATTACTTAAGATGTTGTGTAAATTATTTCTCTCTCTCTTCATGCACGCACACACACGCACACGTGCACGCACACGCGCACCAAAAAAAAGTGACCCAAGGGAACTATTTTAAATAGTCTCCTTTGGTGTATCTCATAACCATTAATAGATGGATACGTTTCCAGCATCTGAAGAAGTGAGGTTTTTACCCACGAAAGCTTATGCCCAAATAAATCTGTTAGTCTTTAAGGTGCCACCAGACTCCTTGTTGTTTTTGTAGATACAGACTAACACGGCTACCCCCTGATACTTTCCATCATTGTACACTGGTTTCAAGAAATTTTAATACATTCTACAGAAACCATTAGTCTCATAGATTATTCTTTAAGAATGTCAGTGCTGCAAGCAAGAATTCTAGGCAGAATACAATTGATTCCATGGTATGAGATTAATTATACATTAAAATCCACCAGCTAGACTTCCTCCACAGTTTTTTGTACCTCTCTCATGCTTTTCATTAGGCTTCCAGTTCTGACAACAGTTCAGCTCACACACATTGACAGCGTTGAACATTTCCTGCCACATATTGTATACTAGCACAATACAGCATTGGCAATACATTGTAGGGGATTGGTTTATTAAGTATCTGTCTTGAGAATGGCAAAGATTTGTTTTTGCAGTTCTTACACCTTGATCCTAAGTGAAAAGACATCCTTGTGTGTTGAAGTGTTCAAATGGTACATAATCATTTAATTTGTGTAAACTCTTTTCATAGAAATAATGAAACACGCACTCCAAAAAATAACCTGTGGATTCCTATTTTCTTTCTGTGCGTTGAGCCTTGAGGGTTTTCAACCTTTTTTGCACAACCGTGAAAGTTAGGAACTTTTAAATGTAAACAGGGATAATCACGTAATCGTAGGAATAGCTGCTTTTAAAAAATGGGAAGCATTACAAACTTAAAATAGCAAGAGTTAGCAATACTGAACTAACATTGGGCATAAACCCAGGAGAACAATAATGCATAACACACGGATGTAAACATAAAATATGCTAATTATGGAGAGCATAGAGACAGTGTAGTCCAGTGGATAGCGCATTGGACTGGAGATTAGGAAACTTGTGTACTATTCCCGCTCAGACACAGGGCTGCTTGATGACATTGGGTGAATCACCTCACCTCTGTGCCCCCATTTCCCCATCTGTAAAATGGTGATAGTGATATTGACCTGCTTTGTAAAGCACTTTGAGATCTACTGATGAAAAGTGCTAGATAAGAAGTAGGTCATTTTGTTATTTTTTTGCCTTATCTGCTCTTTGCATAGCATTTTTTGCTATGTATATGTACAGTGGAGGCCCTGGCCTTGATTGGTTCTGTATGTATGATAGTAATATGACTAATAATTATGGAAAGATAATGTGTCTTATTTAAGGTTGCAGTTGGTTAGCTTTGTATTATTGATGGAAATTTGTCTTGGAATTGACACATTTATAAACACATGCTATTTATTAGCTTAAGAATCCTCTGGCAATCTATAACCAAGATGAATTTGCTGCCCCGTTAGTTTCTTTTAATATTTCTAACAAGTACTTGTGATCTGAAATTTCCCCTACAGATATGGTTGTTTTAAGCCTTACCTGGGCACAGAAGTGCCTCTCCTTCAGTAGGAGACACCAGGGAAAACCAGTTCACTTTCTCACTACAAAACCTAAGGCATAATCATTTTACTTAAACTTCTATAATTATGGCATTTGCAAATTCAGATATCTTAAAATTTGAGTTTTAGAATATAAAAGAAATGCAAGCAATATTTGAGATTTTGCTCAGATCTGAAATTTAGTGGGTAAACTTGTAACCCCTTGAATGTAATGTTGTGCTTTTAATGTCAGTGCTGATGTTAGTTAAGAAATCTCTCTCTCTCTCTGTATATATATAAAAATATTTATTTTGATTTCATTTATATATGAACGGAAAGTAACATGATAGGTTTTTGCACTAACCTTTCATTTCTAGATACCGGTTTTCAAATATTCCTATCATTCACAAGTGCAAAGGCAAACTCATTTCATTCCCAATTTTTCTATGTAACATGAACCGGTTACTACTTAGAATATACCCAGAATTAATAGCATACATTTTGTCTCCCAGATTCTGTCTGATTCAAGCCAATCTTATAATGCGTGTATTAATCCCTCACCTTCATATGCACCAAACTCCCTGTAAAATTAAAAAGCAAGTTCACAGTTAATAATGTTAATGGTTAGATTTCCCAAATGCAGCATTCTTTCTCCCCTCCCTTCAACACAGGATAATCCCATTAATTTTATTGACTACTGCTCACTGCTTTCCCACTGAATATCTCTCTCTCCTGCCCCCTCCCCCTTTTTTTCCCCCTCTGTAGTTTGCCATGTGGGTCGATGCTGTTATATTTGTCTTCAGCTTGGAAGACGAAATAAGCTTCCAGACAGTTTACCACTACTACAGTCGTATGGCTAACTATCGTAACACTAATGAAATCCCAATGGTACTAGTGGGAACCCAGGGTAAGTGCAGTCTTGATTATAACATCTCTAAGATGATACTGGTATTCTAGTTGCTGTCTTCATCTTCAGTTATCTTTGGCTGATTACCTGTCTGAAAGTGTCTTTAGGGTGACAATTTTGTTCTGGAACTTCTTTTTAAAGACAAACATACTTAACTTGATTGATTTCCTTTCATACCAACCTTTTTGGGGGCATAACTGATATTTCCAGGCACTTGGTTGATAAAATGCAGTACATTCTAGATGTTAACAGAAAATGGCTGTTCTGAACTTCTGGGATAGTTTACAGTGTTCCTAACTCTGACCAGTCAGTTTTCATGATCTGAGTTGAGTACATGCATAAGTATTTGCAGGATCATGACCTAAATTAGGATGGGACTCAAATTGCTTAAAGATCCAGAATAGACCAGTCCTTTATTGCCCTTAAATCACAAAAAAAACCCAAGAGGAAATAAGACTTAGCAATCATTCCGCTATAAATATTTATAAAAAATGAAGGTTCCCATATACAGGCCAAACCTCAATCCTCGTTATTTTAGATTTGCTGCACAGTCACTTGCGTTTTGTGTCACTTAAAAAGAAACCCCACAATTCTACTTCACCCCATTTAGGAAAAAACTATCCTGCAGCAACAGTGCTAGAACAGCAATAGCCTTAGGCTATCACAGGACAGGCAAGCCCTGAAGGTGGGCGCAATTTCAGATCCTCTCATGAAAGTTAGGTACTTATTCCCCCTCTCCCCTCTCCTCAGCATTTTCAGCTGTGGTTTCAGACTCCCCTTCCCCTCTAGCCTGCAGCAATGTGAGAAGTTGGGGATGGTTTAATGCTGCTCTAGGGCTTCATTGCTTCCTCATGTTGTCTTTTTGCCAGTTAAGACAATGCCTGGGGACAGGGTGTGGCTTGACAGCCCAATGCCAGATTGCAAACTCTGAAACCAAAGCTGCTCATTGTGAAGCCTGGGAAGTAGGGGGAACATGGAGGGGAAAGAATAGTAACAAGGCAATAAGGCGGAAGCAGGTGACAGATAAAAGGGGGAAGTAGATGGGGGGGGGGGGAAATCCTAGGGTGAACAGAATAAGCTTCAGTCAAAAAGGGAAGTGAATTGCTTAAAGGGACACTGTCAACTTAAACATTTCACAATGTTTAACACCTAAGATTACTGTAAGAGAAAGGTTAGAGGGGAAAGATATTTGTTCAGGATTTCTTTGCTTTGTGTGCCATTTTCAGTGTTTTCCCTTACAGTGAGGTGGTCAGTGCTGGAAGTTTTGTATAGGTCTTTCCCAGAGCGCCACAGAGAAGGAGGGGAGAATTTTAATGATAGGGGTGGGAGGTAGAGAGGCAGGAGCCAAGGATAATACAGGGCATCACTCTTAGCTCCACGTCAAGGTGACAGTGTCCTTTTTAATGTTATGGTGTCGATTATATCTGACTGGTTTCTGCTACCGATCCACTAATCATAGCTATTAGACTGGTAGCTGTGAAATGATCTCTGAAGTGAAATCTCCCTAACATGCTAGTGTCTGCCCCGCTGCTGCTCCTGCAACCAAAGGTGAATCATCTCCCCATTGTGAATATGGAGGTGGAAAATAGAGGGAGATATTTTCTCCCCCATCTCCAGGTGAAATTGAGGTCCAGATTTTGACATCAAAATATCATTTTAAGTGATGCTGCTAATTTTAGAAGCATTTATTGTCCACGTGCCTTCAGCACCCTCTGCTGGTTTTACAAAGAAAAATCCTTAGACTTGCTTCCAAGCAGACATGTTTGTTTTTACCTTTTATGTCAGGTAATAGATAGCAGTATAAAAACCAATATGCTTCAGTTGGTACCTTACAGAACATGTAAGATTTAAAATGTTTGAAACATTAACCGAAGTAATATACTTCAGACAGGAATGCCAAGTGTATTTACAGTAATGGCAATTTATATTCAAGTTCAGATGAGATTTTATCTCATGGAAACCTCATTGGTTTCTACTAAATAAATTGTAGCTGAATCTTAGGTACATTTTCTGATCACTTTTGTGATGCTGCAGTTTTTGCATTGTTACTATAAGCTGCCATGGGAAACAGGAAAATTTTATCGTTGTGTGTGTTGGTCTGAATTGTAATGGGTTTTAGTGCTATACATTTCAAAGTATTTTACAATATTAACTAGTCCTTATAATGCCCTGACAAGTGGGTAAGTTAATGCTAAAAACCCTATTAAAGTAAATTGCGGTTTCAAACAATACATACATTATGATTAGGTCTCCTTGCTCTGTCAATTGTTCCATGAATAAACACTTTAAAAAACCCTTTACATTATTCCTTTCAATTTTCTGCACTCACTAAATCACCTCTTCGAATCTTCTCATTACCTGTGTGGGATAACTACATCTTCCCACTGTGAAATGAATGAGGATCATCATGAAGGTGGTAGCTTAGTATACAGAATTCACAAATGTATATATAAAAATATAGGTTTTATATATATGTATTCCTAAATAGCAGCTGATTATATCCAAAATGTGCTGGATTCTTTTTTCATATGAGATATAAAGGTAATATAGACCTTCATTTAGCAAAACGCTTAAATATGTACTTAACTTTTAAGAATGTGAATAGTCAATGAAATTAATGGGACTTAAGCATGTGCGCTTTCCTGAATTGGGGCCATATAGCTCGTGAGGAAGAGATGTGTAATTTCACACAGTATCAGTTTGTAAGCGGTACAGGTGAGAACTGCAATGTAAAACACTCTGCTGTAGTGGAGTTTTTATCAGGACTAAACTAACCACTTTCCTAGTCAGTTGGCATTTCTCAGAGTTCTGAGAGCTGAACAAGGTGACAATGTGAGTACAATCATATCGCTTCAAAATATTGGGAAATCCTGACACATAGGTGATGGTTTATTATGAGGATCATACTATAGCAGCAGTTTGGTTTCTGATCCTGGAAGCTGAAGGATGAACATCAGTAATAGCTTGTATAATATGATTGCTATGAACAGTCAAGAGTTAATCCTCTCAATGACTCTCTAATTATGTTAATTGTTTATATTCAAGCATGTTGATAAAATCTATTGCTTGATTGGTGCTGTGGGAGCATCAATGGATATCTACAATCAGCTGCTATTTAGGAATACCACTATCCTGTTTTAAGTCACTGTCATGTGTTGGGTCCTAAGGTGTGAAATTAATTTCTCCATGACATCTGTTTCTTTACTCCAAAGATTTTAGTGTGATTACTCTTGAATTCTTAGATGTTTCCTCAGATACCATCAACTACTTCAGTTTACATTTCCAGAGGGAAATGTTATCAGTTATGTATGTACTATGTTACAATAGGACATTGATTGCAACCCACTATATTGAAGGTAGCATAACAGTTGCTGTTACATTCCCCTGTTTTCAGTTGCTCATTACTAACTGACATTTTGATCTTTGTGGATGAAATTTTCCAGAAATGATCTCTGCCCATAGGTGAGTGGTTTTTGAAAGTTAGAGCAAAAATGGTTCAGTCTTTTTGAACACAAAGAGAAGGAAACCGGTAATCTTCTTCCTATAATAAAATAATTCTTGCAACCTATTCAGATCAGCCCTACAGCTAAAATGCCTGATAATTTAGTATTGAGATTTGCATGGAGAATAGTCCTCACTGAGGAGTATTGCATGCCTTATTGCATCAGAAAATGGGTTTGATTTCTCTGGCCTTTAAAATGGCATTTTGAGCATGTACAGAACGTGTGTTTGCTAAGCTCATTAACGGTATAATCCAAATCCATTGACTTGAATGGGCTTTGAATCAGGCCCTAAGTGTAAATCTAAGGAAAGATGGGCAATGCATGTATGCATAGCCACTTTAATTTTGCAGTAAACTGGGCTATTTACCTATGCCCAGACCTGTGCAAAGGCTTCTGAGGACTATTTCAAGTTGCAGTGGTTGTAAGAAGGGCTGCTGTATATTGGATGTGTAGTGGTCAAGAAAAGGGAACTGGCCGACTTGTGAAGTGTGCAAGTGAGGTCTCCTAACTGCCGCCTATATCTAGGCAGGATGGCTGGAGATATATACTCAGGTAAGCGAAATGTAAACTAAACTTAATGCATAGTTTGTGGGATGTGTAGGGACTGAACCAAGGTTTTGCAGAATCTGTAAGGAGGGAAGAACTCCTGTGACCCTTGTAATGTCTGCAAGGACTGTGGTGAGAGAGTTGAATTGTGGAATTTACACTATACATTTTGGAACCCGGTAGAGTTCTGTTGCCCTTGGTCCTTAGCCAAGTCTTAACTTTTATTTTTTCCATATTTTTATTTCTTAAAAATTAACAGACAACACTATCCAACAATACTACATGAAGAGGCCATTAATATTGGTGGTTAAACACTCAAATGAAGAAGTTTGCTTATGTGTTATGGTAGTATCATCACTTCCGCGTCTCTACATCCTACTACTCTGTATATCAGACATCCATGAAAGTCATTTTTACATCATACTTAGCATATTAGTCAATGTGCTGGTGTTAATAAGGGATCTAAAAGTAATTTGCTTCCTTAAAGGATTACAGCAGTATTGATTGTATTTTGTTAATATATCTTACTCTAAGTATATTATTACTATTTAATACAGCTAAATATATTCCACCTGGTAGCCTTATATGCATTTTAAGGTAACTTAGGGGGAAAAGTTACAATTTATTTTCCAGTTAGAATTGTATCAGTGACTTGAAGATCAGGAGTATAGAACTATGAACTTTGAAAACAAATTTTTCACTAATTACAGAGTTAAACGGTATTTTAAAGTATAGCCAGTTCTCTGGTGAAGTAATACTTAACTTTATTAAGACAGCTTGTTAGGTCACAATTAAAAGTACAATATAGTAGAAATCATTGAAAAAAAGAAATACTGATAATAGGACTCTGTTTTTCCTGTGTTTCCTGAGAAGAGTCCAAGATGCACCTCTGAACAATACTTTTATTGTGGAATATTACTAGAGGAAACATTGTCCCTTTAAATGTATTGTATATGGGTGCAGAGGAAAATTTATGATATTTACATGTCTTAGAAGGTAGAGAATTTATATAAAAAGCAGTTTGTGTTGGATGTGTATTATATGCAAAAAGGGAAAGTTACGGTTATGCAATCTTAAATTGACAGTACCTGGCTTTTTTGCTGATCTGTGCAACCTTTAGTCTCTTTATGAAGTTTTTTGTATGAATTTGTTTTTAGGATTACATTTAAGCACCTTGTAGGCTCTGTAGGCATAGGATGTTTTGTAAATATAAACTGCTGCTGTTGAATACAGGATTTGTTATCGCGATAAAACTGCTAATGCTGTTGCTTTTTTTCCCTCTCTGCATGCTGTTACTATAGATGCTATAAGCTCTAATAATCCACGTGTTATTGATGATGCCAGAGCAAGAAAGCTGTCGAACGATTTGAAGAGATGCACTTACTATGAAACCTGTGCTACTTACGGGCTGAATGTGGAAAGGGTCTTTCAAGATGGTAAAGATGGATTTTTTTTTCTACTCAGTATCTCACAGCATACTGTAACCAAAGTGTTCTCCAGATTAATGACCACTGCCTGCTATATAGTTCAGAAGATTTAATCCTGGTTGAGATTTTTTATTTTGGTAACACCTAGAGTCCCATTGGGAATTGCTCAGAACTGTGCATACACATACAGCCTTCTGTACTCCAGTTATCTTCAGCTGCTGGGTTCAGTCCCTTCCTGGTTGGAAAGAAACAATACATTAGAACCATAATATCATGAGTACATTTGTTATTTATGCAGATTATATTTATATCTACTTAAGAAATGTCTTCATGCAGGTATACGATATAACAGACACGGAAGTTGTGTGACTGTGGGTAATCTTTTATGTAATTACCCCCACTTAATAGACATGTATAATAAAGATATAACTAAACACATTTTAAAAAATTAAGAGAGTAGAATATGAAATCTGATGAGATAAAATGCATAAGATCAGTATTAAAATTCTCTCATGGCATCCACATAACTGTTATCAATTGGCAATTTCACCTAGCCATCAGAGTAGAATTGAGTCCTAGGGAGGGATTTAAAAGACAGGGAGTAGTGACTTTATGGACTAGTGTGAGAAGATGTTCCAACTAATTAATACAGCATGGAAGAAAAACATTAAATATGTAACTTGACTCACAGTTGTTTACTTGGACAGTTACTCCTGGAAAAAGCTCCATTGTGTACCTGAGGGGAAAACACAATGGCTAAATAAACAAAATAAAACAAAAAATGGAAAAGAAATACGCAGTTCCTAAATGTCTTCTGTGTATGAAACAAGTCTCTGTGCTCCCTCTAGTGGTAATTCCACATACTGTGTATATTTGAGGCATCTTCTATCTTCCACTGTACTAATCAATACGTTACTTTATCCCCAACTGTAAACTGGCCACTACAGAAATTATTCTAATTTTAAAAGAAAAAAATTTAATTAGTTAAAACTGTTTCCTGAAGTTCCTGATCTCTGCCATGTGCTAGTCTCTGGGTTTTCTCTTGTAAGAACCATAGTTTACATGAGATGCCATCTCATCAATAAGTGTCTATGGTTATGTCTACACTACATACCACTTTTGCTGGCATGTAGTATATGTGTAGCTACATGCTGCAGTGAAAAGCAGGCCGAGTCCACGCTACAGTGTGTCGCTATGTGTGTCAGGGAAAGACTCTGGCAGCTGCCCCTCCCCTGCCAGAGCCTTTCCCTATTGCAGGAATGTTTCCCTGTGGTGAGTCAGGGCTCCAGCCATGGGGAGCTGCCCGAGCCTTTCTCCATTGCCTCCCCAGTGCCAGAGCCTTCCTCTGTGGTGGAGAAAGGCTCCATCAGTGGGGAGGTAGCAGCACACTACACTGCTAAAAATAACGGTGTAGATAGGAAGGCACTGCTTGAGCTAGTACATACATACCCACACCTTTCATGTGTCTTCACTTGCCTGAGCCATTCCTCACTGGCTACACTGCTGTTTATACCTCTGCTAGGGTGGCTACGCAGGTATGGACACTACATACCACCAAAAATGGCGTATGGTGTAAACTAGCGTAAGTGGTGTACGTGCAAAAGAAGTGAGGAAAAATAGACCAAATGGACTTTCTGTAAGTGGAAGTACTGAAGTGAATTGCTCTTGGTTTAAATTCCAAATGGAGAGGTTATTTTTATTCTTAATAGTTCAGCTAATACAATTTGTTTACCCACGTTGTTCTTAGAGTATTGAGGAGAAATCCATTGTGTTCCCTTCATATTCCCTGTATCAAAGATTAATTTCTAAGATTTTGTGTGCAAAAAATAAAAGTTTAATGTCCTTGTTTGCGATTAGCTGCAGTTTATTTTTCGTTACATATACCCTAAAAACTTGTGGGATTCCATCCCCTCTCATTTCTCAGGGAACTCTTGGGAGATGGAACTTGTAGAATTATACAGTGATACAACTCCTCCACTTGTGCATATTTGTACTGGATGAGCTGGTTATTACATACTGTGGCCTTCTCCTATAATGTTAGTGATGCTATGTAGTGAATACAAGGAGTAAATATACTGTGGGAAAACATTGTTAGAATATGTGAAGTGGTGGTGAATTTTAAATGTTCAGTATGCTGAGTGGCATAGAATTGCCTATACATAAAAAAGTGAAGTGTTTTTCAGACTAGGACAGCAGCCTGTATTCTCATTGAAGTCAGTGAGAGTTGTGCCATTGACTTCAATAAAAGAAGAGGTAACTTTTGGCCAAAAAGAAAAATTTATGGCAGGTAATACAAATCCTGATCAATGGCCAATTGATTAACTGATTTCAGACATCTTCGGGGAAATACTTACCAAGATTAAATATGATTCACCTGTGATTTACAGCTGTGGGAAACACCAGATTCAATTTAGTCTTTATGAAATGATGCAGTGATTCTGTAGAAACAAAATTATAGTTCCTTGAAAGTGAAGAGGGCTTATGATACCATATGTCAGTGTTTTGCCTTACGTAACGATGATTACGGGGGGGGGGGGGGGAAGGGAGGGGAATAGTCTTCTTAAGATGTAGGGTTTTATCCTTATAGGAATATGCCTGAGTAATTCCCATTAGTGCTCTGAGAAAATCAATGTGTGTAATGAGGAAAATCTTATGCAATTATTTTGTGTCTTTGTCACCGTCTTACTTTTTGGCTGAAGAACAAAAAACGTTTTGTGAAGCCATATTTAATAGGTAAGGAAAATCAACCATTTTTGAAAGGTCTTGTATTTAAAATATGTTGTGTTCTATTTTAATTTCTGTACTGGATGGCAGGTGGTGTTAGGGGCTATTTAATTTTGTATGTATACTTCTGACCTAATTTACTGAGGGTGCCCACAATGTGTCACTACTAATGCACTAAAACATCTAAAAGGTTGCCCATTGTAAGAGATTTTCGGTGGAGAGAAGGAAAACTTTAGCTTCTTGTAGCTGTTTTGAACATGCTGTGTTAATGTTTTATTAGCTTTTATATAGCACTTTGTATGGTCGAAACTCTGTACAGACTTTCAGTTGTTATCCCTTCTCTCCTGTGCTTCCCACTGGTGATATTGAAATAGGTGGCGGTAAAAATGATTATCCTCATTTTATGTATGAAGAGTCTGAGGCCCCAATCCTGCAAGTTACCTAAACACTCACCTAACTTTAAGCATTCCATTGACTTGAGTACAACTGTTCACATGCTTAAAATTAAGCATGTGCTGAGCTACTTTACCATGTCAGATCTTGAAGTGACTTGTCCAAGGCAGCATGGCAAATAAGTGACATAACCAGGATTAGAACCAAGGAGCTCCTGGACTCCCACCCTCCATCATTCCTCACCCAGGCTACTTTCAATATTAGGAGGAGGAGGAGTGGGGGAGGGGTGGGAGTGGGGGAGGGGTAGTGGTGGTAGTAGTAATCGGGGAGGGGTGGTGCTGGTGATAGTTACTGTTTGTTCAAGCACTTTACAAAACAGGAATACATTATCCCACGCCTGAAGTCTAATTTTAGGGACCTCCTATGATGAGCATGTATAGGAAAAAAAACAAAACAAGGAGAGAATGGGATGAGTGAAGGCGTATTGTAGCAATAAGATTAAGCTCTGATCCAGTGTAGGCATGCAAACATTTTCATGGCCCAGTTACAATTTTAAAATTCTATTTAATTAAAAGTTTTTGACTTGATGCTTGAAGCCTTTGTAGAATGTCAATTTTTAAGAAAGATTTGATGGTTGTACCTACCATAACTGTGTACCTGATGAGTGATAACCTAATGAGTGTGGTAATTCCTAATAAAATTTGGTGGTAGAACAATTTCTCTGTATCTATGGAACAAACGGGCTTTAAAACATGACCTTTTTTGCAAAATCTTCACCAATTAAGCAGTCTTCAGAAAGTACTGTACACAGTATGATTCAGGCATGCAGCAAGTTACCAGAATGTATGTAAGGAAACTGGTTAATGGAGCCATTAATAAGACAAGTTTATGGGTACCAAAATTAATTGTGAAACACACCAGTTCAATAAATATCTCCTCTTGGATTTTACATATACAGTAACTCCTCACTTAAAGTTGTAGTTATGTTCCTGAAAAATGCGACTTTAAGCGAAACGATGTTAAGCGAATCCAATTTCCCCATAAGAATTAATGTAAATGAGGGGGCTTGTGTTCCAGGGAAATTTTTTTCACCAGACAAGAGACTAATTATATATATATCAATATATACACACACAGTATAAGTTTTAAACAAACAATTTAATATTGGTACACAGTGATGATTGTGAAGCTTGGTTGAGGTGGAGGAGTCAGAGGGTGGGATATTTCCCTTACTGCTAAATGATGAACTAGCAATTGGCTGAGCCCTCCAGGGTTAACTCTCTCTCTACACAAGGCAGCAGGAATGGAGGGAGATATGCGCATTTCCCTTAAGTACACTGCCTTGTTAATTAGATCAGCTTGCTGAGAGGCAGCTGCTGCAAGCTCCCTCTGTCCTGAGTCCTGGTCTGTCCCCCCTGCTCTATGGAAGATGGGGTAAGCGGGGTGCAGGAGCAGGGGGGAGGGGGACACCCTGACATTAGCCCCCCCTTTTTCTCCCCTCCCCCCCGCACAGCAAGCAGGAGCCTCGGGGAGCAGCTCCAAGGCAGAGGGCAGGAGCACCACATGGCAGTGGGGGGACGGACAGCTGAATTGCAGGCAGCTGCTGCACAGGGAACTTAAGGGAGTGGAGAGCTGATAGTGGGGCTGCCGGTCCACCCTGGTTCCAAGCCCCCACCAGCTAGCTGCAACGGGCTGCTCTTCCTGCAAGCAGTGGACAAAGCAGGCGACTGCCAAACGACGACGTTAGAAGGGAGCATTGCACAACTTTAAACGAGCATGTTCCCTAACTGATCAGCAACATAACAACGAAACAACATTAACCAGGACGACTTTAAGTGAGGAGCTACTGTAGATTTTTATCACTTTGTGTTAAGCTGATGGGGGTAGGTAAC